TACCCACTTTTCATAGGAAAATTATGGTCATCTATACGAACAGATTCGTAAACTGACTGTAACATGTGAAATGTCTGATCTACAGCAGGTACTCTAAGACCTATCTTTGCTTTGTCATCTTGAGAAATGATAATAGACTTATTAGCAAAGGCAGTAGCAAACTGTTTACGTATTTAATAGATGTAAGATAGTAGTGATTATTAGGAATGTCTCACATCTCAGTATATAAAACTGCAACTACTGCAACTCACGCTAGATAATAGTGTACCCTTGTGGTAATAAAATTAGATTGATGAGGCAGCAGGTAATTATTTAATATTGTTTACGCTATATAGACATTATAATTCTTTTTAAGGTTCTTGTATAAGTTTTTGATGATCTGCACTTTAACCACTTCTTTTTATTATTATTCATTAGCTGCTCCAAACTTGATCAAATCATGGATATAATCATGCAAATTTGGATATTTGTAAAGAAGTGAAAGATCACTAGATTTATTATATAGTATCACCTCCTAGTTTTTGATAAGTAGTTTTCTTTTTTTTTCTTACATTTTTAAGCATAATTTACATTTCTTTTTAATTCAACAATCCTCTTCCTGTTAGATTTAATTTTATCTCAAAGATTCATTATTCTTGCATACATACTATGACAAATTTGAGAATCTGTTACGATGTTATAGATTTGCTTAAATTTAATAAGTTTTTTTTTTGCTACTATATGAATAATAGAAGGACTAAGAGGAGTTGAATCTTCTTTAGATATAAGACATTTTGGTCTCATTGTCTATATGTCATATAGGTTATATGGTGTGACTAGGTAATTCCTAATTATCTCATCAATTTCTGATTTACTCTTACTTTTAATTTAATTCTATTCTTTTGTAGCTTTACGACAAATATTATTTCGGTTAGGAGTATCATTTTCAGTTTTAATCATGATACTGTATACATAAGCATTGGTGAATTCTTGATACTTATTTAATTGTAAATTATAAATCAGTTTCTTAATAAACTTAAGGCTAAATAAGAAGATCTAATGACTTGTTTTAATACTAGAAGTAGAATATTGACTTGCTTGTTTTATAAAAAGGCTTTAAACCAATTTTTTAAAACACAATTTTTAAAACACAATTTTTTAGAATGCAATTTTTTAGAACACAATTTTTTAGAACATAATTTTAGAACATGATTTTTTAGAACACAATTTTTAGAATATGATTTTACATGATTTTTCAATTTTAGAACGGATTTTAAATGACTTTAGAACTTAGGATTTTAAAACACTTGAAAATTTTTTATTTAAATATTTTATTTACAATAAATTTTTAATTTATTATAATTTTATTTTTCGATATATGTTATTATAACTCTATAACTAATATATGAATTCTATAAAAGGAAATAATTTTTGTGCATGTGATCAGAATATTTTACCTGGAGGTGAAGATCGATGCTTATAATTAAATGATATTAGGTAATATATGTTACTGCCCTTATTATATTGAAAAAATTAATACTAATTCAATTAATCTATCTGAATAACTTATAAATAATATATAAAATAAGATTATTGATAAAGAGAAAAAATTAATTAGAAATGATAGTTAGAATAAATTTTAATTTGATTGAATATTTTCACAAAAATGAATTTGATTTCATTTATTTTTTTAACTTAAGATTTTAAGATATAAATTAGAATTAAGATTAAATTATTAATCTAAATAATATTTTAATACAAACTTATAGGTATTGATAATTTCTTAATATAGATTCTAGGATCAATATTGAAGTAGAAAGAAATTCAATTATAAATTATTAATATTAAATAATAATTAAAAAAACAGTTTCAAATGAATAGAATTCTATTAATTTAATGTATTTATAAGGTATCAAATTGATAATTTAAAGATAATTATAATGAAAACTGTAAGAACTGATAAAATTTACATAATTAAATAATCTAAAATAGGTTTTAAAAAATGGTAGAAATTAATTCTAGATTATTTATAGTTATATTTGTGTTAAAGAAAGTTATTATCTTTAATATTAATAAGATAATGATACATTTAAAATATGATACTAATAATTAATAATACAAAATATTTTAAAATATAAATAAATAGCTAAATTAATTACAGGATAAATTAAAAGTTATTAGTTATAATAATTGATGAAAAAAGTATGATTAGTTGCTGAATATTTATTTTAATTAACTTGTGATTTTAATAAGCATTTTTTAAATATAATAATGAATAATTTGACTAAACATCAATTATTATGTTTGATAACTTTCTCAAAATCTGATTTTTTGAGAAATTTTTATATAATAATTATTTAATAAGTTTATAAAAATTACAAAAAAGATTTAAATTATTTAATAATCTAAGTTTAAAATATAATAAATAAAATTGGTAAAATTCTGGATTTTAAACTAAAAATTTAATTCTAAAATTAAATTCATAGATCTTTAAATTATTCTTTTAGACTAATAAAATCTAATTTTAAATAAATTCTATCTGAAAATGTTAAAAAAAAAAGATTATGCTGCCTTTTTGTAATTTACTTTTAAATTATAAAATAATTAATATTTTTATTTAGTTTTTCAATTATTTTGTTTTAGTAATTATTTTTATTGTAAATAAATTAATATGATATAATAAATGTGATGTAGATGATCTATAAATTTAATATATTTAATATTTTATCAATTTATATTATAATATTATATAATTATATTAAAATTATAAAATTACAATTACCAGCGAAAGTAATGACACTACAAGTACTGCTTGTTTTTTGAGTTGTAATATGTTCATTTTTCACTCTAGAATTTTCCAGTATTTTTAGAATATTCTTTATAAATAATATTTAATAAATAAATAAAAAAAAGTTATAAAAAAAAATGAATTTCTTCATGTTTTTCATTTAAAATAGTATTAACTACCCTTGAAAGAAACTAAAATGCTATTAACTTTCTTTGGCAGCAAAAAATCTAAAATGCAAGAGAAATTTTACAAAGAACAGGTATTCTCTTATGCTCCTGTTATCGTTATGTTAGTTTATTAAAGAAAATTAATAAGATTACTATAGATTATCAGTCTGATCAATTACAAAAATTGACTCCTAAAAAATGTCACTAAATTGGAATGATCGTTAAGCATAATCATTTTACTACAGCAAGTGAAATGAAGGTCTAACTTAAAGAAAAAAATCCAGAGCTTGAAATTAGTGAACGGACTATTCGTCATAAACTAAAAAATCTTAAATTTGTATCTGTTCATCTCAGAAAATTTCCTCTTTTGACACAGAAAGCAAAAGAGAACCAGTTTTCTTAGGCTTGTGATCATATGAATTATAATTGGAAAAAGATGGTATTTTCTGATAAAACTACATTTCAAATGTTCTGTAATACCCTTTCAGCATAGTTATATGATAAAAAACCTATTATTTTAATAGTAAAACACTCATTTAAAGTTCATATTTAAGGTGCAATCAGCGGTAAAAAAAAATTAGTATATACATATTCACTGAAAATTTGGATCATTATTTATATCGCCAAATTTTGAATTAACATTTATATGATAATGCAAGTGCAATACATAATAACTAATGGGTCTTTCAGCAAGATAATGACTTGAAACATACTTTCTATGATGTTTAGGATGACTTGAAAACTTGTCTTTCAGGTTGGGTTATTTCTTGACCTTCCTATAGCCCTGACCTTAATCCTATTAAGAATTTTTGGGCTATTTTAAAGAAAAATATTGAGAATGAGGTTAAGAGAATAGTGGCACAAAGAAAAAAAATCTCAAAAGAAATTTTTTTAAATTTAATTAGAAAGGAATGGGATAATATTGAAAATATCGCAATAGTTAACTGCATTAATAGTATGTTAAGTCATATTAAAGCATGAATTAACGTAAAAGGAGGTTATATCAAATATTAATTAATTAATAAAATATATGTAATTTTGGTCAGACTTTCAGAAAATAAAATTTTTTTTTGGATTTTTTATTATAAAATTGTACACAAATTATTAAAAAACTGAGTATCATTATTTTCGCCAAGATTTATATATATTAAAAAGATAATAAATTTCAGAATTCACTGTTGACTATTTTTTATATTAATATTTTTTGTTAATTATATTAAAGACATTATAATATTATTTTTTTTTATAATTTTAATTAATTATATTATTGATTTATAATATAAAGTAAATACAATTTTATATTAAAATATAAATATAAATTTGTATAATTTGTATTTATTTTATAATAAATACAATTAGTTTTATATATTATATTATATAAACAATTTTTTTTTATTATATTTAATAAATATGATTCAAATTTTTAAATAATAAAAGAAAAATTTTAACTTTTATTATATTATATTAAAATCTTTAATATAAATATTTTAATATAATATGATGTAAATAAAAACTAGTTATTTTATTCAATTAGTCTAATAATCTTAAATATAATAATATATTTATAAATTCGCTATTATTTAAATGATAATATAAATATTATTAATATTTTACTAAAATTTATTTCTTTTTATAATTTTCTCCTTTTATTACAAATTTAATGATTATAAAAAATATATATATACAGTACTTATCTTTTAATAAAATTTATTTAGAATTTATTGGTTAATTTTAAATATATTAATTTTAATAATAAAATTCATAATGTATTTTAAAATCAAAAAAAAAATTATTAACAACTTTTTTTATAAAATATAATTGAAGGTTATTTAAAGAATAGTTTTTTTTTTTTTAAAATAATTTAATATATAATTAAAATTTAAAATTTATAAGTTAATGTTTGGATTTTTAAATAAAAAAAAAATAGAAATTGTTTAATTTATCAAACGTATTTTATATAACGTGCAGTAACAGTCCATTAGAAATTTTATTTTAAAATTTTATTAATTCAAAATTTCAAAAGTTACAAATAAATAATATTTACAGAACTAAAATGTCCATTGTTCTCAAACACTGATTTCATTGACGATAGTCGGAGATAAAATCTTTTCAATATCTTTCCAAGCATCGTCATATCTAGCACGATCACGATTAATAGAACTTCTTTCGCATAAGGCCATTATATTGTCGGGATCTCTTTCTAAAGCGGTATTTAAATCTAGCAAAGCTTCATTATTCTTACGTAAAGAACGATAAATACTACCTCTATAACAATAAGCTTCAGTCTGTAATTCAAAATACTGATCCGATCCATTTTCAGATTTAAATTTTAATGCTTTGTTCAGGTCCTGTAAACTTTCTTTATATCTCTTCATAGATTTATAAATGGCACCTCGCATAACAAACAAACTACATTTGTCACCTTGTTTTCCCATAGCAGCATTAAGTTCATTGAGTGCGACATCATAGTTTTTTTGTTCTTGAAGGATTTTGGCGCGATAACATATAAATGTGAGATTATCAGACGCCAGTTCAAGAGATTCATCAAATATTTCTAATGCTTCGTCATATCTACATAGTTTAAATAATAACCTTCCACAATTTTCTAATACTTCTATATATTCAGGTTCTGCTTTGCCTTTCGAAAACCTCTTGATCTGTAACCAATCATCAAGAGCTTCATGAAATCGTTGAGAATTTTCCAATAAATTTGCCCTTCTTCTCAATGTTTTTACATCTTTTGCATTAATATGAAGGACTCTATTCGTGTCTGCTAAAGCATTCTTGTAATCTTTAAGTTGCATGTATATTAAAGAACGTAGCTCAAAAGAATTGGGGTTCTCATCAAATTCCAAAGATTTATTCATATCTTCTAAAGCATCTTTATACTTGTGAGAATTGAAATAACTTTCGCCACGATCATAAAATATACTTCCACTAGTGGGTTTCATCTGTAAGGCTTTATTGAAACTCTTAATAGCTAAATCATATTTCTTCAATTTTGATAAATTTTTTCCTCGATATCTCAAAGCCGAAGAATGTTTCTCAAATTTTAAAGAGTCATCTAAATCTATTAGCGCCTTATTATGTTGTTCAATTAAAGTAAGGATCTTCCCTCTATTTCTTAATATTTGTGCGTTTTTAGGATCTATTTTCCAAGCTGCATTAAGATCATTAAGCGCTCCTTTAAAATTATTTTGGTCGCGATATATTTTAGAACGGTATAAAAGTGCAAGTGAGCATTTTGAATCAGTTTTCAAGGCCAAATTTAAATCATTCAATGCTTCATCGGGGCGATGTGTGGCACGATAAACTTTTCCCCTTTCAGTGAGTGCATTCACATTTCCTGGTGTTATACTCAAGACATTATTTAATCCTTCCAATGCCTCCTTGAATTTAGACGATTGAGAATAGACTTGATTACGCATTTCACAAATCTTAATTTCCTCTTCTTGATCAGGTTTAAACGTTAATGCCCGATTTAGATCGTTTAACGCTTCATCGTATTGTCTTAATACTTTGTGTATCTCGGCCCTTCTAACGTATATTGAATATTTTTGTTTTTGCTTTAATGCCGCATTAAAATCAGACAATGCTTCTTTATACCTACATAAACCACGATAAATCTTTCCACGAGTTCGTAAAATATGAAAATCTAACTCAACATCCATTGAAAGTAAACTTTCAATATCAATCAAACCTTCCTGATATTTATGTTGTAACCTATATATTTTCGCTCTTTTCAATAAAAGTCCTGGATTATGATCATAATTCAATTCTAATGCCCTATTAAAATCTTTCATTGCTTCATTATATTTTAACATTTTCCCCAATGAAGTTCCTCTTAGTTCAATAAACTCAACGTCATTAGGTTCAATATCTAATGCTTTATCCATATCCTTTACAACTTTAGAATATTTTTTTAGTCTAAAATAAATTTCTCCTCTCTTATGTAAAGCCCAAATATTTTTCTCATCCAATTTCAACATGTCATTTAAATTAGATATCGCTTGTTCAATACTATATGGACTATCTTCATCTATATTAATTTGTGCACAAATTTTCAAAGAGTCCAATGCTCTTGGATCATTACTATCTTTTTGAAATGCCATGTTTAAATCTTTTCTCGCTGCTCCCAATTCATTCATTCCTTTGAGAATTAATCCTCTTAAATAAAATGCTTTAGCTTTATTTGGTTTTATTTCTATTGCATAATCCAAATCATTAATGGCCTCCAGATCACGTTTTAAATGTTGATAAATTTCTGCTCTATCGCACCTCGTTTGATAATTATCCGGATAAGTTATGATCAATTCATTAAGGAATCTAAGAGCATCTTGATGATTCCCAAATTTCATGGCTTTTGTAGCTTTACTGCGTAGAGGAGTAAATGTTATGGGAAGTTTCATGATGGATGATTTAATTCTTGGAGAAGGAGGGGGGTACGATGACTGACGACGTTCGGAATAAATTGATGGTTGTTGTGAAGTGTTATTGCTGCTTTGTGGTATATCAGTATACGCTCTTTGATGAGTGAAATAGGGAGTAGATTCTTGGTCATCATCTTTTTGGGGAGTAGTTGTTGAAGAATAACTCCTCTGTGGTTTTTTAAATTTCACGAAACTCATCGTTTATTAACGTTATTAGAGTATTATATAATTTATTTACAAATTTAGAACAATATCAATATTCAAAAAAAAAAAAAAAAGAAAAGAAAAAAACAAATATTTAAGTATGATTCCCGTAGTAAAATAAAAAGGGTTTAGTTCACCCTCGAAGGAACTTATCAAAACAGAAAATCTTATAGAATCTCGAAATCTCGAAATAAAACGAAAAAAAAGTTTAAATAATTTTTCTTGTCAGAATATTCGATTTGAAAATGTTGTTTATATATAAGTTTAAACGTCACACCAACATCATTTTTCAGGTAATTATTTAATTATTTAATATACCATTACTCCAAATGGATTTCCGCTTTAAGTAAATTTAAAATTTAGCCATCATTTGCTAAAAAAAAAATCACGAGAATTATTCTTTGTTAAAGCGAGTTGAATATCTTGAAATACTGACAATTACATTTCGTTTAGAAATCTTTTTCCAATGAAAGGTTCTTTGTCCTTGACCGTTTATTGTCTACAACAGGAATTTAACGAGTTATTCATCAATGACCAATATCAAATTGTTTAATGTTTCTATTCCAACACAAAGCATCTTGAATTCACAATTTTTTAGTAAAATTTTTTTTGCCTACATTATTAAACATAACTAATCAAGAGAAAAGATTTTCAAAATATAATAAAACAAAAACGAGAACCAATCGAACCAATGAATAGTAAGAAATCTTTTAAATTATTATGAAAAAGAACATCTGAAAAAGTTCCATGTGCTTCCGGAAAACATTTAGAAAACTTGCCAAAAATTGCTTCTCATGTACGTTTTCAGGTGTCGTAACTTTTGGCACGTTTTCTGAATGTTTTCGGACGCATCTGGACATTTCTGAATTCTTTTTTTCATTGGAAGAAGAGAATAGTTTATTGAAAGTACTGGGTATTAATAAATATATGACGGAAAAAGGTTGATCTATTTTTTTTTTCTTACGCGAATGTTTTAAAATTATCAAACTTAATTATCGGCTATAAATAGGCCCGAGTTAACGAAATTTAGTGTGAAAGAATCTTAAACTTTATGCTGAAACAAAAGAATTTTTTTGTCATAGCTCTATAGAATATGTCTACGTAAATTTAAATAGAACTTTTACTGATCGGCTTTCCATTTTTTTTTTTTTTTTAAAAAAAAAAGAAAAATGCTTGGTAGAATGGACCCGTGTAACTATTTGCTAAAAAGTGTCATATTCCATTTTGACATAGCACGGCGTAATTACACATCGAATTTTTTATTTAAAAAAATAAACTTTGATGTCCAATTAAATAAATTTTTTAAAATTTTGTGTTCTCACACGAACAACGAACTTTTGACGCAGTAAAATGTAAAAAAAAATCCTTGTGCAACTCTAACACCAATTATAAACGTCGTCGGTTGATTGCACGGAGCTTGTCAATTATTTTCGTTCTCAAAAAATGAACAATGTGTCTAAATTCGCATTCGCATTTCCTCCGGAATGTATTCGTTTAATCACTTTGAATTTAAAAGATGATAAAAAATCTTTACATTCTTGCTTGTTGACCTCTCGGGATTGGTGTAGAGAAACGGTGGATTTATTATGGAGTCGACCATTCTATTTTATTTATGCATGCAAGGAAACAAGTTTCTTACCGACCAAATCTTTGGAGATAATAAACACAAGTTGTCATTGTTCAACCAAGAAACGACAAATTCAAGTTGCAAAATTATTGAGAATTTATTTACAATGCCTCATATTTAAGTATAATGAGGAATTATTAAAACGAGAGGTCATTCAAATGCGAGTTAGGATTACCATGTTTAATTATGTGAAATTCCTAAACGTTTTGGATTTAAATGAATTGTACATTGCGGTTAAAGATTGGGAGAAATCATTAGACACAGAGATGTCCGAATCCGATAAATATATTTCTCTTTACTTTTTGGATTCTAAACTTGGTGGAAATTTTCCAGGTGAAAAATCATATTTACTTTATGGTATTTTATTTAAATTATTTTTAACATATTCGCAAAGGTTAAAATCGATTTCATTGGATACGCAATTTATCCTTCATTTGAGTCATGATAAAAATTATTGTTTATCCCTTATCAAGGACATTAAACAACCGGATTCTTCTTATTTAAATACTTATCAACACTTGGTATATTTGAATAATTTAATCGATATCGATTTACCAAAATCCCCTAAACTGAATCAAAATTTGGTTAATCTATCCGAACTTGAGGTTGTACAGTTACTCTTATCTAAGATTAACTCACTTCTTATGCTCCATTTCAAAAATTTGTAAAAATATACGAAAATTGGTTTTTAGAGCTAATATGGTGTTAACCAGTACCAGTGACAAATTCGCAGCAATAAGGGAAGCAAATCAAGTCGCTTCCCTCATCAAATTTCAACATCATTTGGTTCATTTAGAATTATTTGATATTAATGATGAAGAATTTTGGGAGGTCGTCATGGATTCCGTCATTGAATCTCAATCAAATTCTTTAAACGTTTTGATCTTTAATAATGTTACTATTTGTAGTATTAACGTTTTATTTCACCTAGTACCTCTACAAAATTTAAAAGAATTGAGATTTGATAAGTGTATCTTCAAAACAAGTTCAGCTATTCAACCCAAGGAAAAGGAACATCATAATTGGAAGGATTTAAGGTTCCCCAAACTTAAATATCTTGAAATAGATTTTACTGATGACACTAAGGATGATTCAAAAGAATTATCTTCTATTCTACTTAAATCTTTAAGAATTTGACAGTAAAACTCTTTTTTTTTTTTTTTGTATATATGCAAGCAGTAAATTTATTTGTATTCCTTTTGTCTAAGTTTAATTTATAAAAAAATAAACCATTGAGTCACACGAATCTAAAAGAATATTTCAAATCTAGTTACGTAAAATTATTTGAACAATGGAATCTCAATGCTATCATTCGAAATAAATCTATTATGAAAATTTTTATTTCTGAAAAAGAAAATAATTTGGTTTCACTTCAAATCTTTACAAAGTTTTAAGCACCTTGTAATAATGTTTGGTATTTCTACTTTGCTTAAATCTTTATTAAACATTCATACCAGTATTAATTAAAAAGAAAGTTTATTATTTCTATTACGCCTGAGGAATTAAACTTCATTCATATTGCAATGTTTTTAAATTGAATCATTCATAATGAACTATTATTGAACAGCACATTTTAACCATCACGACCAGTTTATCTTCAAAGACGAATAAAATCAATTTCTTTTACGAGCATAACTCCTAAAGTCCCATTTAACATTTCATCCACTGCGGGATGAGTATATGATTCTAATATTCACCTTGTGACAAAAATAAAAGTAAAGCTCGGATTTATAAGGTAACTCAACCGTGAATGGTCCAAATTTTGAATGGTTTTTAATTCTGACAATAACAAATATAATTTCTAGACCAAACAACTTGTAAACATTCTATTTCATTTATTTATTTTATCTTTTTTTTGATGTTAAAATATATCGTTCGTGAGTTACAAATAAAACTTGTTTAATCAGAAGCTGTTTTGATTTGCGTTACGCGTTATCGAACAATCACTTTAAGATTGTATAAATATTCTTATCCATTATAAAATCTTATTGTGCAATAAATTAATGAATTGTCTTTTTGTAGTATACCTAAAAAGATTAGTGAGCTTCGCTGAAATTTTGATTTTTCAAAAATATATTTTCTTATGTGATATCATTAAATCGAAAAGATTTCTATATTATATTTGTTTAATCAATTAAAAACATGATTGATTTGTTTTGTTAATCATCGATGAATCGAAATCTAGAACGTAATGAGATTAAATTGTTTTCCAAACAGAAAAGGAGACTTGATTCGGATGATTAGTAACAAGGTTTAATTGAATGTTTATCAGATCACGACACTTGCTAACCATTTTGTGAACGTTCTCGCACATTGTATTCATGATATATTCCCGGATGGATTGAATCGATCATTAATATATATTACTATATATAAAACAATCAATTAGTGTATGCATATAGTGAATTCA